GACCTATGATGCATAAATTAAACCTTACCATACATACATCTAGTTTTAAATTGTGAAAAGGAGAACCCAAACTTATTTGGGTTTCCAAGTCTAATGTTTCATTGTGTTACAGGAATGCTCAAGTACAAGGCCTTGTGTGAGCATTTGGTACCTGAAAAGTGGTTGTTAAAAGAAAATGACTAGAGATACTAAACAATTCTTATCGCTAGAAGCTAGAAATAGAGGCAAGGTTACACTGGGAGTTAACACCACAAGGAAAGTGGTTGGTATAGCTATGATCAAAAACTTGTAAAATTTTTTCATAGAAAATGTACTACTTGTAGAAGGCTTAAATTACAATTTGTTTATTATAAGCCAGCATTGTGATAAAGGGTACAATATAAAATTTTTTTCCACTAACTACATATTTAGTCTAAATGGTAATGATATATTGCATGAAAAAAGGGCAAAAAAAATTTATATGCTAGATTTGAATTGTATTAAAATTACTAATTCTTTCTATTTAAAAATAATTTCATATAAATCTTGGTTATGGCATATGAGACTTTATCACGCTGACATTAAAAACCTTAGTAAAATTACCCAAAAGGATTTAGTTAGAGGTATACCAAAATTAGACTTTACTAAAGATCAATTTTGTGATGCATGTCAATTAGGAAAATTGGTATAGCCCTCTTTTCAGTCCAATAAGGATCTTAGAACTAGTAAAACATTGGAGATTTTTCATATGGATCCTTTTGGATTGATTAGCACTGTTAGTCAAGAAGGGAAGGCATACAAATTTATGATAGTTGATGATTTCTTGAGGTTCACATGGGTTAAATTTTTATTTTATAAAAAGTGAATCATTTGAGAAATTTAGAGACTTTTCGACTTAGATTCACAGGAAATTAGGGAATGAGATTTTAATATTTTAAAGTGATCACGGTGGGGAATTTGAAAAAGATAAATTTGAGGATTTTTGTAAAGGAAAAAGAATTGATCACAATTTTTCTGCACCTAGAATCTCTCAATATAATGGGCTAGTCGAAAGAAAGAATAAAACAATAAATAAAGCTGTTAGAGCCATGTTGGCTTAATATTCACTTCTTAAATATTTTTGAACTGAAATAATTAGTATTGTAGGTTATGTTCTAAATTGGGTGAACATAAGGTCTAAATTAAATAAAGCACCCTATGTGCTTCTTAAGGGAGAACACCTAATTTGTCACATATGCATGTTTTTGGATGTATGGTGTTCATACATAATAATTGAAAAATATCCTTAAGAAAAGTTGATCAAAAATCAGATGAAGAGATTTTTCTTGGATACTCTAATGTTGGAAAATCTTATAGAGTATTTAATAAAAGAACTTTGGTAGTTGAGGAGAACACACATGTTGTATTTGATGAACTTGGAATTTTAGGAGAGCCAATTTTGGAAGGAGATTATTTATAAAAAAACTATCAAAAGAATGAGAAAATTAATTTGAAAGAAAATTTGGAGAAAAAAAACTCGTTTCCTAGAGATTTGAAATATTCTAAAAACAACCCAAATAAATTGATTTTAGGTGAACCTAGTGAGAGTGTTAGGATTAGGCATGGACTAAGCAAAGAAGTCAATCATTCTCCCTTTATTTAAATGATAGAATGCAAAAATATAAATCAAGCACTTTCAAATAAATTTTAGATTTTGGAAATACTAGAAAATTTAAATCAATTTATGAGGAATGATGTTTGGGAATTAATAGTAAGGCCAAAAGATCAAAGTGTAGTTGGAACTAAGTGGGTATTTAAAAAAAATGAATGACTTAGGAGTTCTCATTAGAAATAAGGCTAGAATAGTGGTTAAGGGGTATAATCAAATTAAAGGGATTAATTTTGAGGAGACTTTTGCCCCTGTAATGAGACATAAAGTAATTAGGATTTTGTTTGCCTTTGCCTATTTTATAGAATTCAAATTCTATCAAATGGAAGTTAAAAGTGCCTTTTTAAATGAGGTGATATAAGAGGATGTTAGAAAAATTTCACTGGATAATGCACCAATGAAGCCAACAGCTTACCAGAATTCTAAGTAATTACCCAATAAATATTAAATTTAGTTAGCTCAAAATTTGCACTTATATTGAATCCATAAAAATACTAAAGAATTTAATTAGCTTACAAAGCTTCAAGTAGCAAGCTTCTAATGGCTGGTGTAAGTTGGCTACTTCGATCACTTTATAGCTATGATCCCTACAGTTTCCACAATTAGTACCCCCAATTACTTATTTAGACAAACAATATCATTCCAAATGAAGAAAAATGAAACTTTGTTTTATTTTTTCAATTGTGTGGACGAAAATCTCTCCTCCATGAAAATATTAAACAAGGATATTCAATCGAGCAAGCAGTAAAATTTAGCATGCAAGAATATGTAATGAGAAAAAAAAGTAGAACTCTTTACATCAGACAAATCTATAATTAATCAAATACAAATATACAATACCAAATAGCAAGAACAAGACAATTAAAAAAAAGTACGAAAAGTAGAAAAAAAATGATGATACCTTTCACTAGTCCATGAAAATAAACACACGTGAGCCATTGCATAAAATGCACCTGCATTGCCTAGTAAATGTTTTTGTCTGAGTAAATGCGCAGGTTAACTAAATTTTAACATGAGAATCTAACTGAATTAACGAGTTCTAACTCGGTTTAGTTTAGATCCCATTCTGGTAGAGTGTAGTTTCAAAAAAGATGAAACCAAACATATTTTAGTTATTTCTCCTAGTATTAATTTGGCAAAGAACCGAACAGAGCAAGCATGGTACTCTTCCTAAAATCTACATTTCATAGGGACTATTTCAATTAGTCAAATTCATGAAAATAAATCAACAACCTTAAAAACATAATAATCTAACTCTTGCCAAACTCTAAGCTTCAATATAAGAAAAATCTGCTCAATAGGGACAAAGATGAGAAGTCAAGCAGACAATTATCAGCATTCCATAGGGGAACAATCTGCATAAACTTCTATGGTAATGAGGGTTGCTTAAGGAACATAAACCAAGTTAAATATTAGAAGAATAAATTACCATTGTGTATAAATGAGTTGTGCCACTTTCATCATTCTGCTTCCAAACTGTACAAGATTTGTGTTGAAAATAAATCAACAACCTTAAAAATATAATAATCTAACTCTTTCCAAACTCTAAGCTTCGATATAGGAAAAATCTGCTCAATTGAGATAAAGATGAGGAGTCAAGCAAACAATTATCAGCATTCCTTAGGGGAGCAATCTGCATAAACTTCTATGGTAATGAAGGGTGCTTAAGGAACATAAACCAAGTTAAATATTAGAAGAATAAATTACCATTGTGTATAAATGAGTTGTGCCACTTTCATCATCCTGCTTCCAAACTGTACAAGATTTGTGCTGACAGGATATCAACCCATGTATCAGGTAAGCCTGGAAGCACCAATGCATGCAATCCTGATCCCATATAGTGACAGCATCCTTCTTCCCTAACCAAACTGCTAGATGGGCATCCGCTCTGAACTCACTTAGATGAGTAAGATTGAGCAATTTGATATATGTGCCTTCTATTGCACGTTCGATGCACAAGTTCACTTCTCGGGCTTCTTTGTTTACTCTTTTATTCCTGGGATCAAACCATGAATCAAGCTATAACAGCAGTCTGTTTTTGTTTTACTCTCACAAGACAACAAATGTGTCATGGATAGATAACTCTTCCAATTTTAGAGGTTATCAAACCCCCACCTGTGTTCCAATAAATAAAAGAAAGAATAAGCAGTCAATATTTGATATGATAGTAAAGACATGCACTATGAAAGTTTCATCACAAGGCTAACTTGATAAATTCAATGTGCAAACATTTCTATAAATCAACAAGGCTTTGACTTATGAATTACAAAGGTGAACTAACAAAGATAAAGTTCAGTAAAGAAATAACGGCTATGGATCTCATTTCTGATATGATTCTGTGTTTTAGTGAACCATATGAAGCAAGCTATTTGTAATAAACGCAGGTCTTATCTAACAAAATTAATGAATGGAGGTAAGCTCATATCAACTGTTTTAACATGAGCTAAAACAGTATTAGAATTTCTATGTGTACATAAACACAATGATATTTGTAACAAATATGTACAACGTACAATGCTACTTTAGGAAGTTCAAATATTTATCCAGAGTTCCTCAAAATTATTTCAGATATTAAATATGAAAAAACCTGAACTTAACTTATTTGTGAGTGGATATTTTTTCCACTCAATAACAAATGGGACACAAATTCAATTTTTGGAGAACAAGATTGCATCATTGAAGTAAAAGTAGCATGACCATCTCTTAACTTTTGCTAAAATTTAGAATATTGTTTGATGAGATCGGCATCCTAATCAAAGTTCTCAAAATGATGAAAATAAACAACACTGAGTTTTGGGTCATGCTTTTAATCGAGAATATCATTCTTTGATGATTGCTTTATATGATTGGGCTACATCATTAAGATTGATTCAAATGGAGAATTTACTTTTAGTCAAGAAGCTTTATATTTTCAAATGAGTAATTCAACTATTTCCACATCTAAAAAGGAAGCATTGATTTCTATGAATAAAAATAAGCAATGGCCTTTAAAAGAAATCAATAGATGCCAAATTTGGATATATCTGAGGAGGATGAAAATCAGGATCAGAAGAGAAAGTTCAAGTTCAATGAAACTACGGCTTGATTTAACTTTATCTAATAGTTATTTATTTGATAGTTTTTTAGTTCTTTGATCATGGGCAACTTGTGCCCTTGCTTTGTCAAGTTTACAACATTCAATAGAGCACAAAATATCTTGATGCGCATTATGCACCACCAGCTACACCAGGAAAAAAAAATAAGATTATTCATAAAAAGGTACGATAGATAAATGTTACAATGAATATAATAGCTTTTGTGACCTCCAAAACCTGTAAAATATTCTTTCATAAATAAGCAATGCCACAAACTAGTGAAATCCAAGGAAAAATTATTACCAGTGTCCGGTGTTGAATACTAAGACATCATAGAACTGGCTTATATTTGCCCAATCATCAGCCGGAATATCAACATCTACCTTGTAGAATCCTTTCAAACCATCTTTATTGGGAAGGTCCAATTGCTCCACAGGTTGCCACCTTTATATAATTAGTTGTGAATGTGTAAGTAAGCAATTTGAGCTATTCTATCAGAGAAATGCACATGGATATAGCAAATACTTTTAAGTTATTCCAATTACTCATATCTCAACAACAAATACCTACGTGTACTTAGCAAGCAGCACGGCCCGGTGGTAAGCCACAGTGAAATCAAACTTAGGGAAGTAGCCGCCCCTCCACGCCCCTTTCCTTTTCCACTTCCGCGCACCTGAATCAACTGATCCCAGCGCGCAAAGGAACGCCACAACAAAATTCTCATTCAGCGAATCTCCAACAAACCCAATCCGCCGCCCCCTCATGGCAGCAAGGAATGCCGCAGGATCGATCCGCGGCAACGGCAAGCCACCGCATCCTTCAGGAATCCATACCCAGGAGTTAATCGCCTCCATGTTCTCCCTCGCGTTGCGGAGACAGTTCCATGCATTGCGATGAAAAGAACACGAAGCGTCGTAGAGTGGACGGCTGTGATTTTTGTATCGGGAATCGTGGGTCCAGAAACCTCGTGTAAGGTCGGCGGCTCGGTTGCTGCATAAATGATTGGAGTGGCGGCGGAGCGGTGGAGATGTCTTGGAGGAGGCGGGAGGGAAGAAAAGGGTGGATGATGAGAATAGGAGGAGAACGGCTAGGGTTAGGAGAAGAAATATGGAGGGGAGACGAAGGGAGACCTTCGTTGTTTCGCGAGCCATGAAGGCGCTGCCGGGTAGTGTGGCGAATGCGGAAGGAGAGGAACTTTGGGACTTTTGGAGCCGCGACGTATGCGGTGTTTTTTTAATTTTTGGATTTACATAAATAATACTTTATATTAATTTATTTGCCTATCTAATATTCAAAATTTTAATATTTCGTATCTATAATTTATAAATAAAATATTGAAATTTATAGAATTATATGCTGTTATGAGTTGTAGGAAAAAAATATAAAAAATAATATATTCGATATTAAATATTTATGTGTAACATACATGAAATAAAAAAGTTTTAGAAGTTTTATAAGTAAATAATATGACATAAAATTATATATATATATATATATATATATA